CCCTATTGCAATCCCCGGTTGCAGCCCCCTTCCAAATTATCGCACTCGCGCCCCACATTACCGCAGACCCCTAAGTGTTGCACAGTCCCCTAGCTACTGCAGCCCCTCGGTTATCGCACCCCTCCGGCTACCGCGCACACCCCCCGTGCTCGCACACCCCCCAGGTACCGCATCCCCATCCCACTCGGCTCACGCCCGTGACGGGGGGACGGGGAGACAAGGCAGCACTCACCAGAGCGAGTCCAGGTCCCATTCCTGCAGGAGAGCCAAGTCGAAGCTGTCCATGGTGAGCGATGTCAGCGCGGCCGCGCTGCAACCGCACGGCGGCCGGGGCGCATCTTAACTGCACGGCGGGCAGCAGGGCGAGGGCGCGCAGCCTCCGCCGGCCCCGCTCCGCACCCGGCGCCCCACCTCCGCTCCGCGCCCGTCTCACCTTCCCCCTCGCCTTCCCCCCAGAAAATAAAACATTAGAATGAAATAAATGACTGTGCCGCGGCTCGCTCGCTCGCTCGCTCGCTCGCTGCCCGCGCACGGCGAGCGGCCGGGACGCGCACCCGCGGGGCGCCCCAGAGCAACTCGGGCTGCTTTTGTGCGCGAGAGTTTTCTCCCTTTTTTCTTTTTTCTCCCTGCTTAACTCCCCCTCCTGCCCCTTCTCTGCTCCCCTGTGGCCCTGGTGTGCAGGCCCCGGCTACCTGCCCCACGGCAGGCACGCCAGCCAGGGAGCCTCGGCTGTGCTGCTGCACAGCCCGCGCTGTGATGATATTCCAAGATCTGGGGTCGAACTGGGGGAAAATCGTGCTGGTCAAGACAGTGGTGGGACCTACCAGGTCCTCAGCCTGCTGTAGGCCGGGCAATGACACAGGCCCGATCCATGCATGGGGAAAGTGGCCGTTCAGGTGGCACGGTCGGGCTCGTGTGCTGTTGCACAGATGCCTCCTTGGACACATGGCAGAGCCCTTCGGGCTCTGTCTGCACGCTCACCTGCGCACATCTGCACCATAGACCTTCAGAGCCCAGGTGTCCACGAGCCCTTTAAAAATCACCCATCTGTGGTTGCAAATAAGAGTAATGATGGTCAGCACCTGCCATCCGAAGTGAGTAATACCTATCCTGGCTTTGGGTGTGCGAGTAACTGGCCTCGCGCTGCGCGGTCTGTGCAAAGCGCCGTCTGCACTATGCCGCTGGCCAGATGGGGCAGCCTCTCCTGATCTGCAGCTGCTGAATCACATTGAGAGGTTAAAGCACATTAAATACTGCCCAGAATATCGGGTTTTTTAGCAGAGCAGTGACTAGCTGCCAGAGAATTGCCATGTCATCCCCGAAGGGTGAAGAAATCTGCAGAACTGGGGATTACAAGAGGGGTTATTCCTGTGCCCGCGCCTATGCTGGTGGCCAGAGGGCCATCCTGCACTTGGGGGTTGCCTCTCTCGGAGACCTGCAGCCAGCCCTGCAGTGTGGACACACACTAAGGGACAGGTCTGGCAGCCCCCACATGTGTGTGCAGCTCTCCCCGGGCGTTACAAAAATCCTGAGCCGCTCCAGAGCCGCTTCTGCTGCCTTGCACAGCCAAGGTGGTGCTGCCTCCTACTGCCAGAAGCACCCGGACCTGGACGTGGCACGTCTTCGGGGCAGAGGTGCTGACCCGATGTGGCTCATGCCGCCTCCGTCTCCTCAGGGCTTCCCAGGGCTCCCCCCGAGGTGAGAAGGGCAGTCCCAGAGCGGGGAGGCCCTGCTGTCCAGCCGGAGCAAGTGAGGATGAAAATGAAAAAAAAGTCTCTATATAGAGAGAGAGCAGTTCGGATGCCATGCTTGGTCCAGCATTAATGGACACATAAAGGCAATTGAAAGACAGCTTTTTTTCTTTGTGGAGGTAAAGCTTAGCATGACTCAAAATTGACCCTGAAAACTAGGTAGCCTTCTCAACAGAATATATTACTTATGTGAGAAGGAGGCATGGCAGCATATTTATACTGACCTTTTAAAGCCGCTGCCTGTGCTGCGTCACTCTTCTTATTTTAAGAGAGATTTTGCAACCCAGATTTTGCTGGCAGTGTGGACCTGATTCTCTTCCTGAGTCCCAGCTCACACAGTGATTTGCAGCAGTGCTTAAATCACCCTCAAAGTGATATGTAAGGCGTGAGAGGATTAGGCTATCTTTATAGACTAAATCGATAGAGGTGGACCCCCTTTACAGCAGTGGTGGAGCTGGCTGTAGGTCATGCTTGCACCGAGGCGCTAACAAGTGGCAACACACAAACGCATGAAAGCTTGGGAGTGAAATTCTGTAGGTAAAATTCATCATCCCAACTGAGATCAATAGGAAAAAAGTAAACAAACAGCGTGAACAGCAGTTAGTGAATTAAATTTCAGACAGTCATACATAATGGTAACAACCTAGGCGGTATGTTTTATGTTTTTAATATGTTTTAATACATGGGAAGGCACTTTTTATGTTTTTCTGCATGTATATTATTTTTTGCTTCATTCTTCCCTTCCCTGTCATGGCCATAACTCTCTTCTCATGCAAAGCGTCGTACATGGAGACTGATTGCACCAAAATTAATGTCTATGGAAAATCTCAACCCTTTCATTCAGCTACCAAGTGCTGAAAGTTCCCTCTCTCTTCCTCTGGCCTCAATGGCATTTTTCAAACTCTTGTCTGTAAGGCTCAAACTCCAAGACCCTCTTTGGCCCATGGCTTTTCTTTCTTTGCTGCTGGCCAGGCTTGTGGCTTTGCTGTGACCAGAACATCCCACATGCTCAACAGTCGTGTTTTATTAGAACTCTTCCTGCTTGACATTCTTCAAAGGTTGGCTTTTTTCCTTAAAACTGCTCCATGTATCACAACACATAGTATGACCGTAACAATGACGTACAACAAATTAATGAGGACTGGTTAAAAGGAGTTCAGACCTGGTCCAAAGGAGCCTTTAATGCCTCCCATTGTAACCCATTGCCTGGCCACAGTCACTCCCTCCATCATCCCTTGATGCGCTCCGTGTTGGCATGACTTTCAGCTCATGTGGGAAGTAAAACCTACCTCTTCAGAAAAGCGTGGCATTATGTAAATAAAAATATACTATGTGCTGCCTAATCCTGCTCGCTGCTTGCTTTCGTCTTTTTTTTAGTGATTCATATAGACATTACGTGCCCCCTCATGGTGCGCTTTCCTCTGCTAACAGCTCTTCATTGAGAATAAACATGAAGCTGCACCCAGTCAGGCAGGCTTTCTAAGAAGAGCTGAAGGCCAATGAACAACATGGAATTCAAACCCATTACATAAAGGATGTATGCAGTGAGAAAGCTGAACATCATCTTAAAAGTTGACATTTCCCACTTCTCACCCTCTCTGTCTTGAATGTGGCATAGCAGCTGTCTGAGAAAGAGTAAAGATAATTTTAATGCAACATAAAATAAGGGGGAGGTGAGAAATACTATATTCTTAGTCAACATCCTATGTGAAATATCTCTCCCTAGAACCTACCTTTAAAAGAGTTACCCAGTAAGAAATGAATTCCCAGCACATTCATAAAAGCAGAGCCTTCTGCTTTCAAAGAACAAGAAAGAAGAGGCATTTGGGGGTGCTGGGAGATACAGAAATAGACATGTTTTAAATAGGCTCTGGCATGGGAAATTCCAAAGCACCAGTCTACAGTGTCAGGATTGGCATCACCCTCCACCAGACCAGCCGGTGCAGAGGTGGTGGAACACAGTCCCACCCGAAAAACTTGTTGCATTTTAACTGTGCATATGTGGCACATTCCATGATGAGACCAGACAGGTCGTAACCTGTGGCTTTGAAGGCAAAGTGGGGCTGTTGCGTGTCTCCAGTAAACCCATGCATCTCCAAACAACCCAGTCCACCAATAGTCATTCCAGAGGGTGCAGTATTAAAAGTCTTTCTTTTCATGACCTTGCAGATCTTAGAGCAAGGCAGAAAAAGGATCATCTTGCCCGGCCACCCACATGTTGCAGCTCGTTCACTTTCACACAGTTACTTCTGTACTGACCTCAGCAACTTGCAGTCTGAGCAGCTGCAGAACCCATAGTTTAAGTGCTCTTAACATAATAAAATGTATATTCATAAGGAGTTTTACTTGCTAAATAGCTTCATTTTTCTCCTCAATCTATATATCCCCAGCCTCATAATGGTCCATTAAATAACAGCTAAGTTGTGTCACGTTGGCAGTCGTTGCTTCAGCAGAGTGAAATGATCTGAGCTGAATTTCTGTCTGCTTAAACTCACCATTGGCATTTCCATTCCTCTTAACAAAAGTTGCATTTATGCTTGTCAGTGAACATATGCCTAACCATAACTCGGAGTCAGGATGCGCAGGTCTTCTGCAGCTCCATGCTCCTATATACTCCTTTCTTGCCCTGCTGTAGGCTGCATTCGCTACATGGTTCTTCTCCAGTCCCTACAGAAGATGCCAAAAATATTGTGAATGATTTCTCTCTTGCAAATATCATCACAGTCTATTTATATGCTGTAGCTTTTGAGATTTGATAAGACTGGAGTATAATATGGCATGGATACAGATGCTGTCAAAGTTAAGCTAACACAACATATTTCATCGCTCTCCTACTTAACATGCATAGTACACAAATGGTTGCAAACTATCACTCTTTTAAAGAAGCAAAATATATAGATTTAATTTTTAATGATTAAGCTTGGTAATTAATCCAAATTATTAGTTAACAATTGCTAAAATGGAGAAGTGTAATGGATTCCATGGATAATGAAAATATTTATTATTTTAATATGCTGCATGGCTGGAAGTCTAAGTAAGTCAAGCCTTAGTCTACTGGCCACATATTGCTCTTGACTCACACATGGGACCCCCACTGAGGTAAGTAGATGGCTGTGCCCCTGAATGAAAAAATATAAATGGCTTTTTTCAAGTACTGGTGACAACATCTATCATGTCAACTGCAGAAGAATTGATCCATTTTAAATTATGAGCCAGGGCTGCAGAAATTATGCCAATTAGAGACAGGTTTACATTTTTTTCTCCCATTTTTTCCCTTTCCTGTACCCTTTCCCCACATAAAAGATTTTGAGACCCATATGTATTGTGAAAGTTCCTTTGTAGACAAAAAGTGTGGTTAAAAAATGTTTTTATCACAGAACAGGAGAGTCCTGAGGGCCACTTCAAGACTCGGGGGAGTGCAAGGCACAGGCTTGACCCAGGAAAAGAAAGAACCAAAGCTGACCTTACGAGCAGGTTTTCCTGCTTGCACAGGGTGCACAGAGCCCTTTCACCAGCTGCAGCACTGCCAACCCTGAACAAAGCCAGTGCTGAGA